TTCAAGAACATGTAACATAACTGATAGATGAAGTAAAACTTAAAAGTGGCTTAGGCTTTTCTAAGAGCACTGGAACCCTAGTTGGATTTTACTGACATCGGAGATCTCTCCAGGGAGATAACAGATTTTGAGTGAAAATGTGAAGGAAAGATATGTAGTATTTTAAGAGAGCAAGAGAGCATGAATTAAAACCACTAATAAAAAAAAAAAGATTTAAAAAAATAATTAGACAAATCATTGGCATTTTTACAAATATATTAATTAATGTTTACAGGAAGAACAGGCGTTAGCTACATATATGCTTATGGTAATGATGAGAGGAACTTTCTCGGATATGAAAGTTTCTCTGGGATTTTTTTTTTCCACAAGTAGTGTCAGAGGCTCTTAGCTTAAAACGGCATAATTGGTAAATACCAAGAAATACACGTAAATTGGGGCTGAGTTGACTACTTGGGGCCGAGTTGACTCGAATTCCTCATAGTTACTTAAATAATTATCCAAAACCTAGGCCAACTAAAAAATAAAAATGTTCACAGTTTGTAACTCAAATTCAAATAACACTTAATATTATTCGTGCAGCGAAATTAATTAATATTACATATGTCGTTTTAAACTACCCAATAATATTATAATAATAAGCATGGTAACAACAATGTGATTTTTCAAAATCAGACAGCGAGCGGCAATCCTGTATCTTAGACGTTTTGTAGACATTTATCTTTGGTTGATGACATTTTGACCTCCAGAATTGAGATTTTCAAGTCGAGTCAAGGTTTGCCAGACAGTCGACAGGTTTCACGGACAAACACACACCATCTCACGGCTAAATTTGTCCAAACATTTTTTCGATATCGGCCAAAATTCGCCCAGATTTTAATCCCATTAGAAGACAACAGTGGGTACATGTTCATTTGGAATACTACAAAAATTACACGAAAATCAGCGGTCATTCGTTTAAAATTGAAGAAATTAAAATGATATACACAGAACAATGTTAATCTTTCACTGTTTTTCTTCTTTTAATTAATCTATCACTATAAAGTTCATGCCCAGTACATCATAATATTAAATAGACTATGTTCTTTAGTTGCTGGCATGTAGGCCGATTCAGGGGCGAATCCAGAGATGTCCGAAAGGGGGAGTGGCTTGGACCGAAAAGGGGGAGGGGAGAAGAGGGGTTCAAAGTGGGGCAGATAGAGATAACACCATCTTAGGGGAAATATTTGTTTTCTAGACGCCCGAAAATAACTTCTGAAGCGTTTTGGACGATCAATTTTTCTTTATTTTTTTCACCCCTTATCCGCCTCTGCTATTTAAAATCACATTATTAAGATTAATCTAAATTTGATTTAAATGTATTATATATTAAGGTACATTGTAGTCGATCTATAGCAAAAATGTTAAGGGCCTGTTATTGGCAAATGCATGGCTCTCTTCAATTAGAATTAAGTTACATATAGTTAGCTAACACAAACTGGCGTTAACAAACCTTTGAAAACTTTTAAGTAATAAATACTTTTATCTTATCTTATCTTAAATTCGCCTATGAATGTTATTTTCGCAGTACGTAAAGCAATAAATCAATGTTGCTATCAGAATTATCTTCTTCATGATTCTCATATACAACCTAACTCCAGAGTAACTTCGAAGACGTCTCAACACTTGCTTGAAATTGGAGGTGCTATCGGACCCGAATGATCACATCGAGCATTTATATGGCGCTCTACATAAAGAAAACTGCAGCACTATGCCTCAACAATTCAAGTAAATTAAGTACAATATTGAATTTATTTATTTTTTTTTATTCAAAAGAAATAGAACCTCCACTAGGATGGAACATATACAAAGATACAAAATAATAGATGGTACTTAACTTGGCATTGAACTGTCTTCATATAGCTTAAACGAAGATAAACTTCATAAAAAATATATATTTCATCTGAACAAGTTAAATTATTAAATGTAACTATTATCTGTAAAATAAATTCTCTTACGTCAAATCGGCTAAAGGTGGAACATAGATTAAGTGTTTAGTCAAGTACAAACAAAGGTAGGCATACATGATTAGAATCAAATATAGAATTTAAGCTAACAAAAACAACATATCCAAAACAAGTCTATGTTATATTAGGCCTATATTAAAAAAAAAGTAAACTTTTCACAAATTCGGCCAAATATAGTTGGGCCGTGACTTTTCAAAAGTTAGTAATGCGTGTGAAATATTCACGTTGAGCACCCAAACTATATAGATCTACACAAACATTTCATTCACGTAAATACGTAATAATGTAGTCTCTAATGACTCAAGTTACTGCATGGCAGTTTTTATATTTTTAATAAAACCAATTTCTTCTAATTTTAAATATATTTTCCCCTTAATTCGTGATAATTCGTTATCAGGCATGGACTAGTGCTAAATGCGTGACAAATTTAATATCATGTATGTGTTTCTGAAAATGCGTGTTTCGTCCAAAATCACTTTAAAATGAGGGACCGTCCCGCACGATGCGGAACGGTTAGTAACGGAATGAGTACGGAAAAAAATCGCAGCCGGATCCACCTTCTGGAGGTAACAAACTTGGATAGATCCGACAAAAGATCTTGATATATAGAAGGCAGAAATTATAACGATTAGTTTATGATATTATGGATTATGTAAAAGAAACTAAAGAAAGGGGCGCTATAATTTCGCTCGACTTCCCAAAAGCCTTTGACAGTATTGAAAGATCATTTATTTGGAAACTTCTTTATAAATTGGGTTGAAAAGTTATACTATAGTGCAACCAACAGCGTAACACATAACGACTATAATTATCTCTGAACGCATTAAATTAAACTGTGGTATTAGACAAGGTTGTCCTCTGTCTGCACTTATTTTTGTTATTGCAGTTGAAAAACTAGCAGTTAATATTAGAGAAAATAAAAATATTTGTGGAATAAACAATATGCAGACGACACAATTCTATTTGTTAACGATGATAATAGCATTAAAGAAGCCCTAAGTACTCATGTGATATGTTTTGCCAATTTTCAGGTCTTCGTCTTAATGTTAAGAAATAAGTAGGAATCTTTATTGAGACATGAAAACATGGAAAGGAAAAGGTTACTGGAGTTGATTGGCAACAAAAGCGTGTTAGGGGTATATGTTGGTTATGAACGTGAAACCTGTGAAAATTGAACTGGAAATATAAAATAGATAAATTATAAAATAGTTTAAATACGTGGAAAAAAAGAAAAATAACCATTTTTAGAAAAGTTATGATAATCAATACTTTAGCATTATCACAACTCATATTTACAGCAAGCATACTTAATATTCCAGATTTTGTCTTTAGGAAATCGACAAATTATTTTTTGCCTTTCTATTGCGAGGAAAACATTGTACAACAATATTCTGGATGGCGGTGTAATTATACCAAACTTTAGATCTAGATGTTACACCTTGAGAGTTAATTGGGTAACACAATTTTTAATGACGAAACGACTATGTGGAAATGTATTCGAAAACATTTTTTTAATACAATTGAATGGGTAATGTCCTGTTCATCCTAAAATCACACATGGTACTGAATATTCCTTGCTTTTATAAAGAAATAATAGGAGCTTGGACGGTTGTTGGAGGTGGTATTAAAAACGAACCCACCACTCCGGCAGAAATTTATGATGAATGTATTTAGGGTAATCCGTTGATTAGGATTGATAACAAACCTTTATACTCAAAAGCTTGAATTGAATCAGGTACAGTATTTAAAAAAATTAAGGTCTTCATCAACGGTAAAGTAGTAAAAAGTCTTTAAAAATTTGAGTATTCACCGTTGCAAATGGGTCATGATATATTGGGTACTGAAAAAAGCTATTCCAAAGGAATAGAAAACAAACATCACGCTTAAGAATGCGAAAACAAAAAACTAAAAAAAAAATTAACAATGCCTGATAGCCAAAGCAATGTCATGCCATCATTATATGTGTCAGTAATTGATGTTGTTTCCACTATATGAGCAGTTTAAATATGCTTGTCTGAAAAATATATTTAGAAAGAATTATCTTTTATGACAACGGTTATGTAAGATGACATCCATCGGTATATGTCTCTGACTGAATATGTGATTATGTAAAACTAATGTTATGGATGAATAAATGTGGTGAATGTACCATAATAAGGAGATAAAAAAATATATCTGGTAGAAAATCCAGACAGACGATCAACAATATATTTATGGGCAATGTTGTTAGGTTTCATAAAGGTAAGTAACATAATCGATACAGCATCTTATGACGCACACATTATTTTAAGGGCGGATAAGGATAAATTTGAGTATAATTCTCATGGCTGTTTTTAATTTTGCCAGCAATCGTCACATCGATTGATTTAACTTTAAGCCGCTAAGGTGTGCCAATTAACCTCAGTTTTATCAATACTGCAGTCAACCTCTGTTAAGGGGACGCCCCTTTTAAGCTGAAGGAGAAACTTTTTGAGTATGCAAAATCGTCAATTCCACACGCATTCAACCTCTATTTAAAACCAAGTGACACTAATAGTTTTGTTTATCATTAGCATAAAATTCAATAGACTCAAATAATTAACTTTTAGATCAAATATATTTTTTAGGATTTCCAATGTGGATTCCATGGATTTCTATGTCTGTAAAAAACGTACTTTTATAATGATTTTTATTTATAACCTGTAATATAACCCTGATTTATTATTGCTAAATTCTTGTTATATTCTTCATCCGATTATATATTTTAATATTGTAGAACAAGAATATTTTATAATTGATTGATGTTGATTCAAATCATAAAGCAGGTTTCGTTGAATTATTAATGTTGATTATGTGTGAAAGATTTCATTGAGGTATTTTTGCAACAAATTAGCATTATATTGTACTTCATTCTTAACTGATAAAGATTTCAAGTACTATGACTCTATGCGAAAAAAAATATTACACTATCAAAGCTACATAACCAGAAAAAATAGTTTTCGAAGAAGAAAATCATACCTTTGAATGAGAAACATGCCATTGTCAGCAATAACACTATTCGAAAAGCCTTCATTTTACGGATAAGCTAGATCTATTACCATCTAATGTAATTCGACCACCGCTACTGCGTACTACCTATCGAATGAGGAACTATGCGTTCAATATTACCAAAGATACTAGAAATACAAGATAGAGTTCTAGCATTGTAAAAATGAGGCGGAAGTCGTGCTTAACGTGGGCGGCGCCCTTCTTTTTAACCATGCAATTTTCCTATACTTTGTGCCCAACGTACAGGGCACCCTTCTGTTGCTAAGTATATCCAGACGCAAAAGGCGCCCTTCCTTTTCCACTAATGGAGGAAAACTTTTTCACTAAGAGTGCGTCCGGCCATGCGATTCTGCGCTGTAATCTAGATGTGTATACATGATTATGCTTTAATTGTTTTGTGTATTATTTGGATAATAGCAACGATTTCTACCGCCACCAAGGAGGTTATGTATTCACCGATGTCACTGTCTGGGTGTCTATTCCAGTTTGTTTTTATATCTAAGTATCTTTGTTGAGAATTGATAATAAAATACGCGACGACTTGATAACGAAAGTTTGGCACAAGTTTTTTTTAGATCCAGCTGTATGTTTGTTTGTTTTGTTTGTTTGTTTATTCGGTACTCAAAAATTCACAAGGAACAAAGAACAATGATGAAGTACCAGGATAACCCATAAAGCTGAAAACAGCTTAATTCCAATGGGGTCCCATAAACAATCAAGTAAGTTCATAAAAAAACAAGAAACAAATCATGGTTTTTGCACATTTCCAAGGTGAGTCTTTACCGCACGTTTAAATTCGTTTAGTTTGTTAATACACTTAATGTTTGATGGTAGACCATTCCAATCTTTGATAGTATTGTAATAAAACGTTTTCGAAGCTAGGCCTTTAATATTTGGAATTACAAAATTGTCATTGGAAATTTTAGTGCTATAACAATGTTGTTGTTGTTGCCTAAGAAATTTAACCCTATCAATTATATTAAGATATCCAAGTAAGGAAAGTTCTTTCTGTCCGATATGTGCTCTTGGGGCGAGGTCCAGAATAAACCTTACGATCTTATTTTGAGTTACTTGTAGTTTATTTTTTAGAGAAACACTTATGCCAACATACCAGGCAGAGGCAGCATGGTCGAAAATACATTGGATTAGGGCAGAGCATAAAAGTTTACGACTTTGCCTGTCCAAGCAGCTAGCCTGCCTGTACATGAATTTTAATCTGGAGTTAGCTTTCTTAATTAGAGTATTAACATATTCATTATTTGAGACACAATTATCAATATGTAAACCAAGGTACTTAATGGAATCTCGGCTATGTATGATCTGTCCATTATAATTTATGTTGAAATCTTGAATAGTGTTTATTTTCATTTTTAGATCCGAAAATAATGCACTCCGTTTTATGTGGATGCATCGATAACTTATTCTCGACCAGCCATTTGTTGCATAGTTCCATATTTTACCCTAGTTTATTGGAAATGTACAGTGGGTCACGATGAGCTAACAAAATGGCGCTGTCATCTGCATATAATAAGAGTTTACATTCATTATTAATACATATTGACATATCATTAATGTAACAATTAAAGAGGAGCGGACCTAATATGCTTCCTTGTGGAACTCCATGGGTACATTCTAGGGGTTCAGAGAAGGTACCATCAATACAAACAATCTGTTTTCTATTAGAAAATAAGATTTGAACCATTCGACTGTGATCGACTGTATCGAAAGCTTTTTGTAGGTCTAGCATGACCATACCGATGTAATTACCTTTCGAAATCTGTGTTCTAATAAAATCGTTTAGATGAATGAGGATTGAGTCGGTAGAAAACGCTCTTCTAAAACCACTTTGGAATTTATAAAGCAAATTATTTTCAAACAAGTACTTTTCAAATTGATTAAAAACCATTTTTTCAAGGATTTTGGACACACTACCTAAAATACTTATGGGCCTGTAATTTTTCACATCATCTTTTGATCCCTTTTTGTGGAGAGGTAAAACCTTCGCAATTTTCATATCATTGGGGACTTCATTTTTACTGATAGATAAGTTTATGATATAAGTTACAGGTTTCTTTAGAATAGTCGCACCATCTCTTAAAAATCTGGCTGGAAGATTATCAAGTCCTGGCCCT